TTGAATTGATATGTAGTGGTCATTACACCTTAGACAAAAAGAGCTGTACAAATTACAGTCCAAAATGTAGTTCTTGACACAAACTCAATACAGTACGGGAGAACTATGTTTTTTGAAAAGTTCCTTGCTTGCCATTCAGACCATAATGCTGTTTTATCTCCCTACTGTATTTGGATTGCCCAGTGCTTTGGAGACTGGAGGCATGGGTAGCCAAGGACCTAAAGCAGGGAGAAGGGGCTGCCTCGCTTTGAAATATGTAGGTGAAACATCTCTTAGACCACAGGACACCCCAGATGGAGATTTAAGTGATCTACATTTGCTTGCAAGCAATATACCAAAACACATCACTGTGTTTGCTTTTAATTGCAATCGTCTAATTATAGTTGCTCCAGAATATGAACAACAGATCCACTGAGACACAGTGAGCTTGGGGGCTGATGTAGGCCTAGAATTGGTTTAAAGTGAAACTGAAGGGAAAGAACGCCCTTAACCGTGCACAAAGTCCAAAGACGAAGCTGAGTTGTAGCATCTTCAGGACTAATAGATTTGTTGTGTCATAAGCATTTATGGGCCACAGCCCACGAAGAAGCACCTGACAATGTGAACTTTGGACTATTTATCTGCATGGATTGACTACGTTTGTATACCACTTCTCTTCTACTGAGTCACATTATGGACATGGGTTTCCTGTTCATCCTCACAACAAAAACCCAGAGGACCAGTCATGCTGACCAGTCACCAACAACAAAAGGGCCAGCCTGGCCATTAGCCAGACTGAGGCAGTGGCCTCACTCACTTTCTGCTCTCTTAGCCAACTATGGGCCTGTGTACCTGCTCCTGGCACTCCCCAGCTGGCTATGTCAGCAGTGCCTTGACTGCAAGAATCATTGAGGGAAAAAGCGTTTTCCATGTCGCTGGCCAAGAAATGGCCACGGGCGGGGAGAAAGCCACCACAGCCACCACCCTCCCTTCCCCCCATGAGTGTGTGTGAGAGGCCGCATGCGGCACTGATGCTGGACTTTCGCTTGGTGGGAACGACCCCTAACCTCCCATGTGCCCATTTAACCCCTTAACCACACTTTATATGTCACAAGAGACAGTCCTTTGCTTAATCATCTGTATGCGTTGTCATCCATTTACGTCACTCCACTTGTTGGGCCTAATCCCCAGTAAGGCTGCCATCCAAAAAGTGCTTACTAAGGTGCAATATTTGGGGAACATAGTGGAATCAACATGTAAATAAATTTGTTTATTTACAATATTATTACCCCACTTTTCTTCTAAGAAATGACTCAAAGCAGCTTACTTCATTAAAATACAATATTAAAGCAAAAAGCAGTGAATTATTCAAATATTAAATGAATTAATAACATTGTTCATGTTATTAACCACTTTCTGAGTTCTGTTCTCCAGGAAGGACCAAAGCCCCCCCCCTGAGGGGGGGGGACTGCAAACAATTGTATCTTCGCCCTTTAAAGTCCTTTAAAGGTTGTGTGTTATTTTCCTTTTGTAAAAAAGGCTGGCCCTTTCATTAGACAGAACATGGCAGCCACCTCCGATGGCAAAATTTTTGCTAGGGGCAGGGAGCAGCAGGACATTGTTACACCAAGAGCATCCAGCTACAGTATATGGCTTGCCTGTGCCCCTTAACCTAGCCTCAGGAGGAGGCCAGACTATTGCCAGTGTTAAAATAAGAATTCTGGTTAGTTTCCATACTCCAAGAGGGTACATGCCATCTTGCTGTTTGCTTCGGGAAGCAAAAATGCCCTGTCTCCTTGAATTTACAGTACTTTGGAACACCTATGAAAAAAAAAATCTCAATAGATATGGCACCATAAATTTGTGATTAAGATGCTGTTAGTTTAGTCTAGATGTTGGGAAAAAGCCAGCATTTGGGAAAAAGCCAGCCCTTTGTATAGATTTGGTGTTTTTTATATTTTTTTGAAATTGCTATTTATAATTTCACCACCAAAGGGACTTGGCGGGGTGGGGAGAGAAAGGTATGCATTTCTGAAGGCATGAGACGTGTGGGTGGTATATAAACAAGTCCCCGGAGTAATAACAGAGTAGGGAGAGACTCAGAACAAAGGCTAGTAGTTTTCTCTATGCATCACTAGCTTTAAACAGCATTTATTTCTGTAATTATAGCTGCACTCTTATACCCAGCTATCTGGGAGTAAAGCCTATTGAACTCCATGGGACACACTTCAGAGTAGTCATTAAACTTCAGAGTAGTATTTCACAATATTACCTTTATTGTGATATAAACTACATTAACGTACCATAAACATTGCCCAGTCTGTAGTTGTTCATATGCATATCTTGTGACTATAATGAAGAAAGGGTGTTCAGTTTAATTGAAGTACAGTATGTTGGTGAGAACTGAGCTGAAAGAGACAGAACCTTTCTGCTTATTATCTACTGTATCTTTATAAATGCATATCCTCCCTTTTTCCACCAGATGGACTCAAAGCAGCTTTGACAATAAATATTTTTAAAACAAGATCAACAATGCAACCCCAAACTTGTTTTTTTAAAAATATATAAAGAGTCACTATGGAAAGAGGGATGGAATAGGACTCAGGAGACATGGGTTCAAATCCCACCCCACCATGGAAACTTGGGGTATAGAAGCAATGGTAAAGCTACAGTACTCTTTTAATATCCCCCATACATTGAAAACCTTCTTAAGGTCAGTATAAGTCAGATATGAACTGCTGGCACACAGCAAACAAAACATAAAACAATCATGGGATTGTTTAACGCTGTCTTTGCTGTCCTTCCACAAGCCAACAAGGACCTTTCTCTTCAGGCAAGCCTTCCTTTAATGACTGGTTGGCTGAGATGGGCTTTTAAATGGAGTGTTGAGCCTTGCTGTGTGTTTCATGGTTTTGTTTACCGTTTTTAGTGTGGTACCTGTTTGATTCTTTTAAATATTTTTAGGCTTGCTGACATGGGCTTTTAAATGGAGTGTTGAGTCTTGCTGTGCTTTTCATGGTTTTATTTACCATTTTTAGTGCGGTACTTGTTTGATTCTTTTAAATATTTTTAGGCTTACTGTTTTTAGCTTTTAAATATTGTGCTTTAATGATATAAGCCACCTTGAGTCCTTTTTTTAAGGAGAAAGGTGGGCTAAAAATATTTTAAACAAATAATGCATAAATAAATAAATGTTGATGGAAAACAGTGGATCAGTTACCAGACAGAAGGCATTCAGGGAGAGGGTTTTCTGAACACTAACAGTTTAATCAGGAGTGTGCGAGAAATAGCTCAGTGAGTTAGGGATCTGGCTATGGAGCCAGGGACTGGGAGTTCTATTCCCCACCATGCCTCCTGGAAGAAGAGCCAGCCCTGTAACCTTGGACAAGCTGCACAATTCCAGAAGAATTGTAAACCACTTCTGAATACTCTAGAAGAGATCAAGAAAATCATGTGGAGGTTTGCCAGAGGTCCAATTTGATTGAATAGCTTCTTTTTGTTGAGAAAACATTGGGCAGGTTACAAACAGCCTGGAAATAACATTCCCCAATGTTGGTGGTATTATACCAAAAGGCCCTACTTACTCTTAGGAGATACCTGGGGCACAGGTACATATTGAAAGATCCTTACTGCTTTGTAGCCTGAAAGCAGCACCTTGAATTGGGCCCGGAAACACACCCGCCATCAATGCCGCTCAAAGACCTCAGGCACAAGTTATGTTCGAAGTACCTCCGGCCAGTCCAGAGTCTGGCTGCACATTTGGCACCCGCTGGCTTTGTTTTTCGGATCCTCCTTCTCAAGAGCCGTTCCAAAGGTACCCACACACTTTTTCAAGACTTGAGGGGATACCTCTGGGGAAGGAGAGCTAATGCCACCGAAGGGTTCGTTTCGTTTTATTCGGAGCTCTTGTCACTGGTGACAAGCGCCCCAGAAGTGCGGTCTCTACCGCACTATGCACCAAACCGGTTGCTTCTAAGGAGGAGGGAGGGCGGGCAGCCGATGCTACAAAATCCTAAGGGAGACGGTACGTCAGAAGCATTTCCTTGCAGAGCAGGATAAAAAGAGGCATACATCGCAGACCAAATCAATACAAATCGCATTACGGGTCGGCCGCGGGAGGGAAGGAACAGGTGCAGTCAGGGAGCAGGGGGCGGGGAAAGAGGAGACGGCCCGCTTTCCCCTTGTGTCCCGGTCCTTCTCCCTTCTCCCTTCTCCCTTCTCCCCGGGAGCTCTCCCTCCTCTCGCTCCCTCCCTCCTTGCGGCTGGCAGTGCCGGAGTGAGGGGAGGAGGAGCGAAGAGGAGGAGGAGCGGGTGGCGGATCCC